GACCTTCTCAGGCCCTCATATTGGCAGTATCTGCCAACGTTTCCCTCTATTTATCTCTTGTACGTTCACAACTTTTATACTGTTCTCCACTCTGGCATCCTCACCTGTTGGCTGACATCAATCGTCTTGAGTGCTGTTCAGAGAAGAGCCACCAAGTTTATTGTCAATGACTCATCCATGGACTATAAAGATCGACTGATTCATTTACATCTCCTACCGTTGATGATGGAGTTTGAAATCTCCGATATCCTCTTCTTGGTCAAATAAATGAAATGTCCGTCTAACCATTTCCATATCTATTCTTTTATTGAAGTCTGCAATCATTCTACTTACTCATCATCATATTATAAACTCAGACATTCTCTCTCAAAAAACAACACTGAGCAATTTTTATTTCAACCACATCCCTAGACTGTGGAACTCTATTCCTTCTGTAGATATCAATCTCCCTCTCCCTGCCATCTTACGTGATCATCTCTGGAATCGTTTTATTACTAACTTCACACCAGATAAAATATGTACTTATCATTACTTATCGCCCATGTCGCAATTACTTCAAATTACCTGTCCATGTGCATTTTCGTATATAAATCATTATCATTACTTTGTTTATTGTGTGTGTGTGTATTGTCTTTTGGCTGCTGGCTGCTAGGGCCTTCAGTCCATCAACGCAGACTCTCATATCATCTCCCTTCATCATCCTTTCCTCACTTCTTCTTTGTTGTAAAGTTGAATAATAAATAATAATAAATAACCATGAGCGAAGATGTCGGAAGAACGAGTCAAAGATATGGTGCTGCTCAGTTGGAGTGGACAGCCTAGAGTGAGTGTGGAGAGTGGACAGCCTCGAGTGAGTGTGGAGAGTGGACAGCCTCGAGTGAGTGGGGAGAGTGGACAGCCTCGAGTGAGTGTGGAGAGTGGACAGCCTCGACTGAGTGTGGAGAGTGGACAGCCTCGAGTGAGTGTGGAGAGTGGACAGCCTCAGAGTGAGTGGGGAGAGTGGACAGCCTCAGAGTGAGTGGGGAGAGTGGACAGCCTCGAGTGAGTGTGGAGAGTGGACAGCCTCGAGTAAGTGTGGAGAGTGGACAGCCTCGACTGAGTGTGGAGAGTGGACAGCCTCGAGTAAGTGTGGAGAGTGGACAGCCTCGACTGAGTGTGGAGAGTGGACAGCCTCGAGTGAGTGGGGAGAGTGGACAGCCTCGAGTGAGTGGGGAGAGTGGACAGCCTCGAGTGAGTGTGGAGAGTGGACAGCCTCGAGTGAGTGTGGAGAGTGGACAGCCTCGACTGAGTGTGGAGAGTGGACAGCCTCGAGTGAGTGTGGAGAGTGGACAGCCTCGAGTGAGTGGGGAGAGTGGACAGCCTCGAGTGAGTGTGGAGAGTGGACAGCCTCGAGTAAATGTGTGGAGAGTGGACAGCCTCGAGTGAGTGTGGAGAGTGGACAGCCTCGACTGAGTGAAGACTGACACACTCTGAGAGATTGGGTCGCTCCACTTGTACATAATATGTAAGTCCACTCTTCAGTGTCCAGTCCTCTCCATCACTTACTGTTTCTCAACACCGCTATGGTAAAGCCTGGTGGCAGCGGTGGCACACAGAGCCTAATTATAGTGTGTCAATCTATGAGGCTCCACACTCAATCGAGGCTTTCAGCACTATAGTGGTAGGGTCTCCACAGCCACTCAGGCTGATGGAGGCTCTTTCCAACTTACTAAACAGACAGGGCACCCTGAGCACTGCAATGGAGAGGTCGGCTGTTAGTATTCAGTCTACCCAGCACAGTCAGCTTTGGCAGGGTCTCAGTCTCTCCTCCACCACTTTCTCACTAATACAGTCACTAACAGCATGGGATGCACCAGCAGTGGAAAAGTCAATCAGAAGCAACCAACACATAGGCGGACAGTCATCATAGACGACTCAGACTGGAATAGCACTAGACATCAGCACAAACCAGTTATATACCTGCTACTGACATCACTAAATGCACCATAAGTCGACATAAGTTGAAAAAATTCTGTGCATGCACATATTGTGTTTGACAGTTCATGTGTGTGAATTAACCCTGGGAGTATCTCTGTTGGAAATACGCACAAGGAAATACAGCATTTAGACCCAACGTTTTACACATCATTCAAATCAGCCGAAGTCGAAAAGACACTCTACAAGACAAGTGTGAAACAGAATTTTCAGTTGACCATGTAAATTACAACAGCTATCCACTAATGTGTATGCTTTTGTGGTGTCAATGGGAAGAATGACCATCCGCCTGCTCTATCGCTAAAGATCACAAAGGGCGTTTGCACTGCACAAAAGACCTGATATCACCCTGTTCTTTGTCTCTTCGTCGCTCCAGACACTGGGTGACTTGCCGGCCTTGAAAGTAAACATATACTTGACGTTGTGCACGTGGCTTACATGCTTCCCTGGACAGCTGGAGCATCTCGTGATGTGTCATGGAGTTGGTTGGGGGCGGCAAGACTTTTACTGCAGCCATTCCAACGTATTCAGACAGGTTTTGTGACGACATTCAGTGGTCTACACACCTAGTGTTGAATCATGTCCACGGCTCTTTTCACTTCTCGTTTTGTTGTCTAGACTGTGTATTAGGTTCAGTCAAGGGTTCACGTTAGTGTGCCATAATCAGGGACGGTTGTTATATTCACATGTACAACCCCGGTAGAAGCTGCACTTTGCGCATGCACAATATGCATGTAGTGTGTAGCTTCAGAAGAGCAAAGTGGCAGGGCCGAGGCAGCGGCAAGTTCCAACGCTGCTCTCCGGCAGAAGGTTGGCACATGGATTTATAGACGTGACGACTCCGAAAAATAAACTGCAAGGCCTACTTTCGTGCTGTTGGTTTGTCTGATCTGCATCTCTTATTCATAATTATCGTTACAACATTATTTTAGCCTGTTTTATGTGTATAGTTCTGTGTGCCAACTTGCAACATTTTTACCCTCGGCGTGCATGCACAGCGAGGGTACTGTAGTTGGGTGTGTGTGTGTGTGTGTGTGTGTCTGTTACTCTACATCTCACTTTTCGAATGTTTGTTCGTCTCACAAACGATATGACCTACTCAACGGGCAATGAAGGTCAGAAATTTTGTGGGGTTTTCTCTGAAAATGCTCCGTTGCAAAGCTAGAGCGCTTCCAGCATTGTATGGCTAATGCCGGTAGTCGCCATTTTATCGCTGGCGGATAATGCGCATGCGCTTATATTTAGACCGACCGGGTCCGCTTGTCTTGAAGGCACAAGAAGTCACAACGAATGGCGTGTATCGACTCTCGCGTGCTATCTTACTGTAGCTAGCCCGTGTCAGACACTCTGCGAGCTACTTCGCCGAGGGTTTGCACTTTAGTGCTTTCATTGGGTCTGTGTGTGTGTGTGTGTGTCTGTTACTCTACATCTCACTTCTCGAATGTTTGTTCGTCTCACAAAGAATACGACCTACTTAACGGGCAATGAAGGTCAGAAATTTCGAACGGTTTTCTCTGAAACTGCTCCGTTGCAAAGCTAGAGCGCGAAAGAGCCAATATGCAACTACACAACGGACGGGATGGCTCACCACGGTCTGATCGATCCGCGTGCTCAGCGTACCTCGGAGGCTCCAGAAGATGCAACGCAGGGCGTGTATCGCCTCTCGCATGCTATCTAGTAGTGTAGTTAGCCCGCGTCAGACTCTGCGCGAGCTGGCAAGAGACCACGAGTAACAGGCAAAACTAAACCCAGCCCATCAATTAGTGGCACTGCGCATGCGTTTAGTTACGCGTGCGCATCACAATGCGCCAAGTGTTTGCACTACAGTGCTTTTCATTTGAATGGCGATATTATCTGAACTTCGCGGAGGAACATCTTCATTTTTGTATCTAGGACTATCTATACTTAATGTTTGCACCAGGTTAAAAAGCAGTGCAAAAAAATATTCAGACAACTTTCGTAGACAGCCATCAAATTCTGCATCGCGCCAGTTTTTGGTGAGTAGGTAAAGGCTAAAAGCTGAAATTTTGACTGTGGCATAGCTAATAGACGCATCTAGCTCTCATATTGACTGAGCTACATTGTATGGTTGGTGAGTTATAGGCAAAAAAGAAGCATGGGCATAGAGGTAAACTTCCTGTGCACGCGTGTAATGCGGACTTCCGGCATTTGGTGGAACAACTGGTGTTTTCCCGCGAAAGACAACACAAAATAACTGAATTAGCAAAAATAAGTGACCTCTAATCAAAAACATGTTAACAGAGCCTAGATATTTGAAATAACATGCATTAACTTCCTACGCACCTTCTTGTCGGATCTTTCCACGATGTGTCGTGTTTTCTCCTTGTCCTTCATACGAACCCTCTCAGAGAAAGCATCTCTCTCGGCCAAGTCTTCTCTTCTCTCCCTTTCGACCCTAGACATTGACAGAGCATAAAGTTATGAGAACCACTCAAGTGCAAACCTTCGGTGCATTGTGCATGCGTGCTACCGCTAACTGATGGGCTACCACTACTGTAAACCCAGAAATTTTTGTGCGCCATAAAATTTAGCGAAATTAGCGTTTCCCATGCTGACGCTAAAATAATAGGATGCCAATTTTTGTAAATGCTCATGTGTTGTAACTGGCTATCAAAATTTCGCAAAATTTATAAGCCGCTAATATGTTACTTGTATCAAAAGAGCCTATGTGTGAGATGACCTACTACTCTGAGGCAGAATAGGTCTGCTGGGCAGAATTATAGCAAGATTTAAGATGCTAATTATTTTGGGTGCCAATATTACTGGGTTTACAGTATGTGTTTACTTGTGGTAGCTGAGTGGAAACTCTAACACAGGCTAGCTACACAATTACATAGATAGCATGCAGGAGTTGTTGCACGCCCTTCGTTGTGACCGCCAAGGTACACAGAGCAGGCCGATCAGGTCAAAGTAGGCCAGTTCGAACATACATAGTGGTGTTTCGCTTGTTTCACGGCATACCTCTCAATTGCACGAAAATTGCCATTACAGTTTTCAGGCTCGCATAGTTCTGAAGCCGTTTTGTTGCTCATAGGCTGCCTCGTAGCCTGTAGTGCCGGAATAGCTGCAAACAAACACACAGACCGGGTACTGTAGACCTAGCTCCGCATGCTAACTACGTAATTATCGTGGGTGTACTGCAAACCTTTCCCACTCGTCAGAATCGGAATCATCAGCACCAGAAGGTGGTCTAACATCTTCCTCGTCACTTTCCCATTCTTCTGTAGCCCTCTGTGAACGAATATTACGGGAGGCTTTCGTTGCACGCGATTTTTCGTCCACAGTTACTTGCTTCCCACTTCGTTCTGCTGATTGTTTACCTGAAGTACCCTCAACACATCTGCTCCAAAGCTCCGCAGCAAAACCTTCAACATCAGAATTCACTTCGATCGTGCCCGATTTCTGCAACTTTTTGGTCAAGTCCCTACTGCTCTTGGACTTCCTGGCCAGCTCGATCATAAATTCGGCAATCTGGCGGTCAGAGAGACCTAAAATCTCGTGCAGTCTCTCAGAGACCCAGCTCACGATCCCCGCCATCTTTCTTGGGATCTCTCCTCGGCTCTTACGTTTGTTGAACGACGTCCACGTGGACGTGACCTTTGAACCGCTTTCACACGCGCATATGCGTAGTCCACCCGGTCACGTGATCCAGCGTATTGCCGTCCGTGCCATGTGGCCCTGCGCGTGCGCAATACAATGACTTCCTGGCAATTTTTCGTCAAAGCTCCTGATCCTGACCATCTTTGCAACAGGTTCGCCCACCTATCTGATTTTCTTGCTGCTCGGCTGCTTGCTGTTGGAAGTGAAGTCTATATGCAATGAAAGTGTCACTATGCAGTTGTATAGGATCAATACAAAAGATCGCCACCGTCCGTTACGTTACGCAATCTCGCGTTACGTAACGTAAGCACGCGACGGCGAACGTTTGCGTGTGCAACGCCTACAGTTTTCTACGCATGCGCGTGAACCAAGCACGATAAACGCTGCTTCCAGATCAACTGCCTGCACTGTGCTGCGTTTATTTATTTCACTCACTAAAGAGGTACTAAAAGACAACTAAGCGTCATGGGATGCATCTCCCCGCGCGCGGTCTTCCGTTTGGCGCTGGCGGGAATACGCTGGCTGTATGAGCGGTGTTATTCTGGAGCATGTCTCTAATAGAGCTAGGACCAGTTACGTTCGAGCCAGTTACAGGCATCATCACCTTTTTTAGAGCCAAGGGTCTCTTAGCTACAGCTTGCGCTTGCAGCAGGTGAGTATTATTTAATTTCACATAGCTATATGGCCATATCTGTGCCATAAACAGATGTGGTCACCTCTGTTGCTGCAAAGAATATCCACTATACTCTGGTCACCATCCGAAGGTCGTTTGGTTCAGGCGCATGCGTAGAAAACTGTAGGCGTTGCACGCAAACGTTCGCCGTCGCTTGCTTACGTTACGTAACGCGAGATTGCGTAACGTAACGGACGGTGGCGATCTTTTGTATTGATCCCAGTTATAAAACAAAACATCAAACGACAGCAGTTTTTGAATCCAGTAGGTTATTTGGACTTTCATGGCTGGGTGCACTATACTTCCGGGCGATTATTCGATTTAATCTCAAAGCTCCTGATCCTGACCATCTTTGCAACAGGTTCGCCCACCTATCTGATTTTCTTGCTGCCAACTTCAATACCAAGCCATTCATGGCCTGTAGATGATAGACCAATGCTAGCTAAACATTCTTTTCCCTTTCCACCTGACTATTTACCTCGGCAACTGTTTCTCACTCATTCCAAACTGCAGTCCTTTAATACCAGTTTGTTCCGCGACTATGCTCTTGACCGAGGACCATGTCTGACAGGAGATGTGTGGCTAGGAAGTTCGGTGTCAAGGCTCCCAGAATCCACACCACACAACTGGACGGAGTCCCAGCTCCAGCACAACTGAACCCTTCAGCAACACCCCAGTGTACACGCTATACGAGAGAAACAGTGGTTTCTTAACAAGCTTCATGATCGTCTTTTAGTTGCCCAAAACATGTCAAGGTTTTCATAAATGCCTGGATGAGTTTCTAAAAGCAGAAAATACTCAAAATATATTTGCCATAATCTGGTGTGGTGAAGAGACGTTCTTTCTGTGATTGCTTCGGTTGTCTTTGCGAATTTCATGGAGAGTGCATTGCGACACTGGCTTGTTGATTATTACTGTCATTTTGGTGAATACTGAGGCGAGAACATCACTAGCTTCAACGGCCTCGAGGTACACATCGACTGTTGTCACTCTCTCAAACTTCTCGAGTGAGTCGCAGTATTGCTGCATCCTCTGCTGGAGCACAGCCTCACAGACCACCTCTCGATGAACTGCGTCAATGGTGCAGTGTACACATTCTTGAGGGGTGGGAGATTCACTGAGCAAGTCCAGCATACCATCCACACAACTGTAGCACCAGATTATGGCAAATATATTTCGAGTATTTTCTGCTTTTAGAAACTCATCCAGGCATTTATGAAAACCTTGACATGTTTTGGGCAACTAAAAGACTATCATGAAGCTTGTTAAGAAACCACTGTTTCTCTCGTGCACATTTCATCTCTCGTGTCGGACATGAAGTCTGAAAAGGTGTCACTAAGTCGGTCAATCTCGGCTCTCACCTGTGAGACCCTGAATGTGCACAGATGGCTAACGGCAACTTTGGTATTCATTTTCTGATTAAGGCATAATGTTGGTTTGCAAGAATGACCTTTCACAGTAAGTTGTTCAGTATTTGGTGATGATGAAATTAGCTTTTTCAAGCATAGATGTTTGATTATGTCAATAGTATAACAGAAACGATTACAATTTTGGTGCATTGTGCGTGGGTCTTTGGTGTAGCTTATAGATTACCTAGTGAGTTTCAAGTATCCAGACATTCCTTTCCGTCTAGTGGAGATTTCAGCGACCAGTTGAGAGAAAGTTGGTCGTTTGTACGGCTCTACATCCCAACACTCTTTCATCATCCCATAGCTAAAAATGAGTATCAGTTAAGGTTTATGACACAGTATGAGCAATTCTCACATCTCCTGAGAACAGGCCTCATAATAGAGGCTTGTCTAGTCTCTCTCCACTCTCAAGATATCTGATGAGAGAAAAATGGTCCACTCCAGGGTAGGGGTTCTTCCCCAAAGAGAACACCTCCCAGGAAGTCACTCCAAAGGACCACTGTGGGTGCATGGATGGAATGGTGTGCTATGAGTTCTTGACAAATGACCACACACACCACATCAGTTTTCTCGGAGAACACTCTATCATGCAGGCTCTCCATTTCACTGGTAGTTTCACAGCAGCCTGTCCTTCCTTGTTTGATGCTGCCTCTTGCCTACAGTCATTTCTAGCATAAATCTCCTCCGAGCAACGAAAGTCAGCAACCTTTATCAAATTCTGTGCATCAATCCTACAGGAAAGAATGAGGTTACATCCTTATCAAGTTGTATTCTCGTACTCCCGTACATGCAGTTTCTGGTTGCAAGATTACTATGGACAAACTTCCTCTGCACCAAGTACTCCATTCCTTGTGCAAAAGAAGCTTAATGCTTGTTGCTTCAATCTGGATAAGAAAACATGAGCAAAAGAGAAGCCCTCTGTAATAAAGTGAAAAACCTGTTAGGGATTGAAATCAAGACCTGTTGAGTAATGATCATGAGTTAGTTGGTCGGCCCACTAATGTCTGGTGCAGGGGAGTGGACGATTTTTTCACATTTCCCGCTCTAATATTCCGCCTATTCCGCATGAAGTGAGGCAGAACTGAATAGACTGGGACTAAAGTCATCAGGCTGTTGTTAGCTAAGACATCGTGAGAGAGGTATTGCTACGTGGATACTTAAGTGTAGTTGGAGCTAGAGCTATGGCCCATGTCATGTCCTCCAGTTTTCCTTTTGGGGCTAATTGGCAATGGCTTACCTGATGAGTGACTTTTTACACGGCAGCCTGGGAGGACAATAGTAGCTAATGGGTGTAATGATCCACTACAATAATTATATATAAAATATACCATGTTGGACGTATCTGCATTTTTATGGTCAGCTCAGCTCTGTGTTTTCTCAGATAAGACAGAAGAATGCCTTGAGCCATGTGTTCCCACTGATTGTCACTCCCAGGAGTTTCATGACATTGGGGTATATAGTCAAATCTAGCCATGGTCTGACTCTCCTCCACAAGTAGGTGGTGATCACTTGAACTGAAGACTCCTGCACCAAGCTAGAGAAACAAGGAAACATTATTATAAAATGCTATGACTCAGTGTAACTGAGTAGTTGATCTGTGCCGTAAGACTTTATTTTTTTGCAAGATGCGCTATTGTGAAAAGTTGACAAATTAAGCCTATTATAGCATTTTAATGAGTAGCAACGTATTACACAGTAACTGCACAAATGTCAGCAATTAAAACGTAATGTTGCCTTTCAGTGCCTTCACGGCAACTATACTACAAGTAAATAAAAAATTCTTCGAATTAAAAAAGTTTGGATGCCATAAAAAGCAAGGAGACAAGACAGGGATGACCTAGTGCATGTCATGTAGTAGTACAACATGGTTACATCTTGAAACTGACATTCCTTGCTCGTGTTAATTTTACTCCACACAAGCCTATTCACAAATAACGAGTGATCTCTATCGTATGATGTGCAGCTATGACTCGTTTCCTATGCACATAAGACTGGTAGCAAATGCCCTCTCCTACAGGTCCTCAGTTTCAAATAGTAACTGCATTTTATAGCCTATGACTTCAATGTTCGGTCAACTAACCAGTTTTACAATGCTGCTTTCTACACAAAATCCCGCAAGCGATGTCAGTTCAAAGTAAGTATATCATCCATTGTACTACTGCATCACATGCACGAGGCATCCCTGTCTTGTCTCCTTGCTTTTTATGGCATCCCTATATTCCAAACTTTTTTAATTCGAAGAATTTTTTATTTACTTGCCTCCTTTCCTTTTTTTAACTGCATTTACATGCATGGTGTGCAATACAAATGGGATATATTTGGGCATAAGCCAATAAAAAAAGTAACATTAGTGGCCTTAAGCTATCCCCTCAGACGTTTTGTCGTCATTCACGTTACATCAGTGCACCATAAGCAAATTATAGGCACTGACACCATTTAAAGTATTCTTTGCCTGAGGCTGTTTGTTGTTGTTTACTCTCTTCATCATGGTGAATCAGTGTACCAAGTTTTCATTGTTAGAGGACCAACCACAAGTAATTTATAGGCACAAACACCATATATAAGTTTTTATTGCCTGAGGCTGTTTATTGTTGTTTACAAGCTTGTAATTTCTGTTTCGATGAACTCTTATCATGGTACATCAGTGTACCAAGTTACATTGTTAGAGGACCCACAATAAGCAAGTTAGAGGCACAAACACCATTTACAAGTTTTATTGCCTGAGGCTGTTTGTTGCTGTTTACAAACTTGTAATTTATGTTTTGATGAACTCTCATCATGGTACATCAGTGTACCAAGTTTCATTGTTAGAGGACCAACCATAAGCATGTTATAGGCACAAACACCGTTTACAAGTTTTTATTGAATGAGGTTGTTTGTTGTTGTTTACAAACTTGTAATGTTTACATTTTGATATTAATGATGGGTTGCATGTGTGTACAAAGTTTTATCACTCTGGGTATTAGCTTTACCGAGTTAGAACACTTTATTTGTCTCTATCATAATGTATTGCCTGGGGCTATTTGTTGTTGTTTACATGTAAACAAAATTGTTTACGAAGAAATAAAAATGCTCTTGCACGACCTGTCATGGATTCCAATATCTGTGCAAAGTTTATCCATATGCGTTATCCAGCCCTGAATTCCACACAAATGGACTCTCCTCCATCAAATCCTCCTCTTCGAACCACTCCATCAGACATCAGCATAGAGATATAGTATGACATAATAATTATTATGTTTGGTTGCTACCCACAGCAACCACATACTGGAAGGTGATTGTCTGCAAAAAAACTGCACGTGAAACCTTGCTACACTCTAACATTAAAGCTACACTCGAATAGGTTATTAAAGCTACACTTAAAAGTTAAAGCTACACTCAATTTTTTTAAAGTTGTTAAAAGTTACATTCAAAAACCTATGAAGCCACATATAGTAGCCAACATGATCCAAGGTAGAAAACTCAGTAATTATCTACAAGAATGTGCGGGAAATTGCGTTAGTGGTCTAGCCTGTAGTGAACCTTCAATTATACTCAATGCAGATGGTTTTATTGGTTGGCAATGATGTCATACGTACATCAGGGAGTTGCTAGGGTTAACGTGCTGAATGTTTTTGTAGACAAGGGTTCACTAGAATTTGTATTGTGGTTGGTGTGGTGGTTGAATTAGTAACGTTCAGGAATATGAACAGCCTAAATGAAGATTTGCTGTGATTTTACACAATCACTGCTGGCTTGGGAAAGAATCCCTGAGAGAGATTCGTTGCCTAATGTTTGGGTTTCTTTTTGCATGAAAAATTTAGTCCCTGGTGTCAAGTACATGTAGGTCTTTTTTAATGATTACTGTGCCCTTATAGGGGAAGTTCAGTCACAGAACACAGTTCTAGCTATATACAGCCCAGAACTGAAGATTTCTCACATTGTATGTGTAATAAACACCAGCATGTTCCACTCTCAAGAGAAGAAGGTAAATGTTTCTGTACGTTCTTCTAGGAACACGTAGAAATTTATCATGTAGCTAACCCTCGGCGTGCATGCACTGCGAGGGCTTGGCTGCGCATGCGTTCCGAGGGTTAACTACAGTGGTTAGCTTATATAGCGAATGCAGGGAATTTTCACTCACACCAACAATAATGCAATTTACACAAATACAACTTTGAATCGAAGTTGATTTAATCTGACCATATTAATTTCTGAGCATCTATCATCATGAAAGTATAGCTGTCCTGGAGACAAAGTTAGCTGTTGTAAGTGAGTGCAATTGGCTCGTAGTTTCGAGAGCAAAGTATCTGCACTCTCCAAGGAATCCATGGCCACACTGTTGGATATGTTGAGTTCCTTCAGCTTGATCATGTGCTCCGCTATGAGAAGTAAGCATTCGGGAGTTAAGCCACTGCAGTCTGATACATCCAACATCACTAAATTTGGAAATGAGTCACAAATGGACTGTATTCCAGCTTTCCCTATACGATAGCAGTTTGTCAGACTCAAATGACTGGGAGGAAATAAGAGGGGAAAATGAAGTATGTAGGTAAAAGAGGAAACCCCTTACATCAGAGTAGGAGCAGGTGGATGTACACTAGCTCTCAGAGAAGCTAGGTACTGGAGGTCATGGTCAGAAGTCTTGGTGGTGTAGGGCAGGTAGAGGTGCTTCAGATTTGGCCAATGCGGTTTGGCCTTTTCAAGCCATTTGAAAGGAGCCACACAACGTGAGAACGTGATTCTCTCCATACGACTACTAGACCACAGCAGACACTCAGGAGGCAACTGAGAGAGGTTAAGCCAGCAACGTAAGGATAGTGAAAACGATAAACCTGGGACACATACATACGATACTGTTTGACAAAAGAATGTAATCTTGGGTCATACATACCTGTGATAAATCAACATTGTCAAGTGTGATGGTTTGAATATTTGGGCACTTTTTGAATAGCTCATCCAAAGCAGCACCTGTTATAATAGGGCGCATCTTGGGCCTTCTCTGACATTCTATTGCATTAGACCGCAGGGTCAGTCTCCACAATGCAGGATGCAGCTTCTCTCTAATAAACTTCTTCATTCGTTGTACATCCAACTTTGGCACAGTACTAAGATCGACATCACTCCAAATGTACTCATCAGAGTGTAGGAGGTAGAAGCGACGGTTTATTCTGGCTAGGGACATCATTGAGGGTACATCAAGAAATGACATAATCTTCAGGACAACATTGTCAGGTAACAGTGACAGGGATGGCTCCACAGCTATTGAGAGACCAAAAGAGTTAAACATGCACCATCTGGTCACAGTCAATCAACAGTAGAGCTCCCATACTCTACCACCAAAATTGTGCCGAGCTGATGATTATTTTGATGCGTAACACTTCATAGGTTGGTTCTTCATTTTATCGACTAGTCACGAAACCTGCTGGTCAGCATTTTCCATTGTTTATAGCTCGTAACCTACCAGTTATTCTTATGGCATAGTACGCATTCGATAACTAATAACAAGCCTCAAGATTCTAAACTAAACCTATTTATGCATGGGCATACATGACAGCTTCTCAGTTGGACTGTGACATTAAGTCATGTCAAGAGGATCGTCAGCAGGAAATTTATCATACGTTTTTCAAAATCTGCCTCTTTATACTGGTTCTGCACGAAACTTGGGCTTATTAGCTAGCAGCCCTAGTAAGCTGGGCCTTCAGTGCTAGTGGAAACTTCCCAAGCCCAGTTCAGGGCACTCGTAAGCTTACCTACAACCTCAAGTCTAGGTTGCTTATTCCTCCCTGGTTTTATCCCAGAGTCACGCCTTTTTCTCTTCTTGGAACCTTCTCCAAACCGCTCCATATTTAGGTCAGGCGAGGGGCGGGGCACGTGCGTGCGTGCAAAAGCCCCACCCCGTTTATGTTCGCTCACAGCTGCAAGGAGGCAAAGATGTCTACAGCGGAAATTTTGCCAAAACGTTGTGCCCTCCGGTTTAAACCTCCTACACTAGTTCTCCTGTATGTGGACCCTGGTTTAGGTGAGCTACTATCCTAATCTTTAGCTTTGTGCATCAAATTTTTCGTGTAGGAAAGAAACGACGACGTTCTATGCCACTTCGTGGTATCAGCACAAGCACCAAGTGAGTGCTGTTGGCTAACTAGTTAGATTAGTATGGTCAATTATTTTCCATGCCCCTCACTGCAGTATGGAAGAGTTTGCGAATGAATTACGGAATCATCCTCGCCATGCAGAATTCTTCAGAGCAATTCCATTGAAGCAGGTTTGTGTTCCACCCTTCAGCCAATGATGCTTGAGTGTTATGCAATGTTTGATGTGTTTATTTCTGTGCACTGCTTTGCAAATGCCTCAATGATGATTTCATGATTTATTAAACACATCATTGTGAGCAGATTCCTTAGCTGCACGCAATCTCGCATAATAGAAAGCTCCCCAACATAACATCAAGATTTCATGAGTTGTCCTGGGTGCAAGAAATGTGTGCCTTGATCCGACTATACTGGGGTCGAAAATATGTTTTGAGGGCTCGCAGCAGCAGACACTTTACTGCACTTGATAAACTAGACATAGCTACACAGTGGAGTGTCATTAAAGAACACCCTTAGTAATGAAATTCTGGATACTACAAACACACCCTCGGAGCCTAGCCCTATATAACACTGTATTTTAGCCACACTTATAACAAATTCCCTTACTGTGAACAAAGTCTGTAGGTCCCCAGCAATTCATTATAATGAGACTCCACTGTATGTGGCTATAGGATCGTGTCTGAACAGTGATGGTGTCCAGATAAATCTACACAGGGATTTCAAGACAATAAACTATAATTCCATTACTGGGTTTTCATTAGGATCCTTCAACTGCTCTGGAGTAAAATGAAAGTATAGGCATCGATTAAGGGAAAAGTGCCTTAACAGGCACACAAGAGTTCATTCTCTATACTTGCAAAATATCAAATTCCTCATAGCCTTGCACTCTTTTCGTTTTATCTCTGCCAACTGATGCTAATGCTATCATTACACTGCAAAAGCCTAGGTAAGCCTGAAAACCTGTGAGATACTGATGGTGTGTACTGTAACTAGATAGGGCTGCTGCCATTCACAGAGAGTAGAAAAGCAAGAGCAAAATCTACACTTAGTATGAACGTACACTCTCAGTGATACTCTTGTAATACAACATCATCCTTTGTTTGCCACCCCCAAACAATTCCAGTAAAGGTATTTCTGTATGCAACTCTGCTTATCTCTAAAAATTGAGCTGTTCCCTCCAAAATCTCCCATGAGCTTAGTCCTGGGTTCTCACTCACGATACCTCTTTATTGGTGTAAAATCTGCTCTTCAACAAAACAGCTACATTCATTGTTGCAAAAAGTGAAAGATGGCTGTGCAGATATTGAAACTCAACACCAGACTGAAAAATCCGGGTAACTACCTTTTCAGTGTGTGTGGGTTTCTGTGTATGTTATTGTGATCTCCGTTATGATAGAGAAAAGAACAAGACTGATGAACCACCAACGCTACAGCTTCTTGCAACCAGTACTGGTGAAGTTAGAGCAGAAACACAGGAGATTGCTGCATTAACACTTCCTCCAGTGTATACTCCGTCTCAAACTGGAGCATTGCTTCTAGATCTCCCACCACTGGTCCCAAAACAAGTAGTGGGAAACAGGGAAGATGTGCCTCATATGGCACTGGATGACTTACTTGGCCCATTGGTTGAGAAACGTAGTAGCTTATATAAGCAGGACGTTACTGCACCACAAGACAGCACCGACCATCGTAGTAAAGAAAGGAGTGCCCCGAGCCTTGCACCTGCCTTTTTTACCGAGACAAACTACAGTGATGATTTCAGCAGCCCAAGCAGTCTTAGGTTTGCTCTTTATGCGACATGTGATAACTGGTTTTTGTGTGTGTTGATGAGTGCCCCATGTGTCAGGGTATGTGTTTAGCTTCAGTATCATGAGTGTTAGAGTTGATAAGGAATTTAAACGAATAGCTTGAAAATGTCAAACTGTGGTTTTCAATAGCTTCAAAGAAGTCAGCACAGTTGATGGAGGAGGAAGTATGCAAGGAAGTGAAACAGAACAACAACCTCACAGCTCCAGTCTACCTCTTCCAGACATTGTCACAGGTATATTATATTAGGTCACATCTTTTATAGCATTATGTTCTGGTAATGGTGCCAGTTTTAGCTAATCTTGTATAGGCTGTTGCCCTAATAGAAAAATTTTTGCCGGGGACTCTGCCACACGGAATTTTGACCCTAAAACATACGTGTCTGGAAATAAGGCTATTTGGTGTTCATACTGCAATGTACACAAGAAAATACACACCATAATTATCTGTAATCACCAGAGAAAACAAATGGACACATGTGTGATTTGATGTATTATACTTGCTAGTGGCTGCAAACCTATCATATAAGTATCCACAGCAGACAATTACTCTGAGGCTAGCGGAACCAATGAGCAAGATCTCAACAAAGTTTCTGAACAAACTCTTGCCCAAGAAAAGAAGAAAATGGATAATCTTTTTGAGACAAACCAAATACTGTCTGGAGGAAAGGACTGGGAATATGATAAACAGAATAACTTCGAGCCTCCTCAAATGGAGAGTGGCTGGGACAGTGAGTCTAGCTCAACACAGGAGTTTTGAGTGTTCTTCATCTCTTGCTCATGGTCACAAGCGTAGCAACATACCACATTTGTATACTTGTTGTACGCAACACACTTACAATTCAATTAACCACTTACGTATTATGACACTTGTGTATTGCAGCCGATTAGATGTAAACCGTAAGTATTGTACACTCGGGCAAGTTATTGCGAAGAAAACTCCAAGCTCCGTGACACCCAGAGCACGCGTCACGGAGAGCTATGTATGCTCAACGTATTGAACCTCACCTAGACTCTTTGCATAACTCCCCCATCTATCTTCAACCCAATTTTCAGCTGTATCACCAAATAGCTCATTGGCAAAAAACTCTAGAGTTGATGTCGGGTTGACATTCAATGTGCGTGCTAATTGGAATTCTTGCACGATTCATGTGGCATCGGGTTGCACGTGACAAGAAACTTAAATATAGTGATATTCTGCCAGTATATTATACTAATGGTCACTGAGGATGTGAGTAATGCCTGATCTAGTGACCTTTGCATGTGGATATCTACACATTGATGCTTATCCTTGCACTCGCACACACACACACACACAAACACACGTTACACGCACATTCAAACAGCAAAACTTTACTGGTATAAAACAATCAATAGCTACGTATTAAAAAAAGGAAGCACACATACAAAACACAAATGTTTGACATTCTGGAGAATTTACAGTGTGTGCTTCCCTTGCTGTACTGTTCACAGACCAACTGTTGTTTTCAACACTTGACTGTACCCTAAAACAAAAATAGAAATAAAAATGTGTCTTGTAGTTTTAAGATGTACGTGTTGTAGGACTGAAAATCAGACTAATAACATGTGATTAAGCTCCTAAGAAAGTTGGCAGAATCTATAATGGATAAAAAGACTACAACTAAAACCAGTGAAAATGCAAACCTAAGTGTTCACCCTTTTGCTATATAAGCAATAAGCCCCCCAAGATCATATACATACGTATAAATGTTATTAGCAATATTACAACTAAAGCTCATCTTCCTCAACTATATACGTAGCACCGCTTTAGAACTGATTACTGTGTATGTGGGGCTAACTGTCACTGCCCCAAACAGGCTACGTAGGTGTACAAGTAACCCACATGCTGTAAAATGTGTGAGCTTACAATGTATTTAATCTTGAAATGTGCTGCATCAGTCTGTTTTGGTGTCTGGGCGGGGGCAGTAAGCTGGCCAGAGGGCAAGACCCCCACATGTGAGCCTGGGTTCATGCAGCTCTCCAGGATGACATGTTGATCTAGAGCCACCGTTGGGTAAAAGTCACAATCCACTCCACCTTGACCCTGTTGGAAACAGAAACACCCCCAAGTAATGGGCATTAGAGATGTAATAAAAATGATCTGGTCTAGCCTTGTACCCATGCCGAGGAAAAAACGGCGTGGTACAATCTGTAATGGCCCATCCCCATAAACTATTATGTTTGTTTATTGCCGCACAAAGACTGAATTCAAGAAAACGCGATTTAGACTGCCAGACCATAGCACAGTCTGACTAACCCTCAGCATGCATGCATAGCAAAGGTTACAGTGCTTGGTTTGTCATTTTGTCTGTTACCTCCGTTTCTGCTGAAGCGCGCAACAAGTTGGCTATACCAACAGATTCAGGGCTACATTGGCTTGATATAAAAACTGGCGACTTGCGTAAAATGTACTTTGTTCAGAGGTTATGGTGTGAAAAATAAGTGAACTTCCCATTATGGTTTACCTGATTGTGGCATATCATGAAGGCATCAGTAGTTACAACAGAGGATGGATATCAAGTCCGGTAATGCCTAAAACGCTACCTACTGGTGTAGCTAACCTGAATCTTAGCGGGAAGCCACGGTCAGCTACAGTGTAGCCCAGCCAATAAATTAGCGGCCAGAACATGTGTAGTGTTTTGCAATGGTGATGTGTGTGCCTATTGCGCCGAGGGTTTGTACTTAGTGCTTTCGTTATTCTTTTGACAACACAATTTTGGAACCTTGAACATATGGACCTATCCTTACGTATCCAACAAGGTAGCCTCCAATAACAGCAAGGTAGTACTGTGGCTGAGCAACATTCTTTAGCTTGATTGCCGACTGATTGGGTCCAGTGCGCAGCACTTGAAACTGACCTGGGGTAAATATTGTAGTGCTCTATGCACGTAGCACACGCCACCACACATTACAACACATATGACAAAGGCATGCAAGAACTCTTCACTTATAGTACTAAAATGCAACATGCCAAGTACGAATTGAAACACAACCATACACATGCGTGGGTCAATAACGCAAATTGATAGGGCGGCTGTACACAATAGAGTCTGTCATGGGCTAGCCATACCAGTAGATAGCTAGCGTTTTGCGGGACATGCCACTTACCCTCTATCGTACGTATAACCTTCCGATACCGCCTGAAAAAGTTAGTACTGATCCATTTGTTTACTTTATTTTCATGCCATAACTTTTGACGACCATTAAAAACGGAAGCAACAGTTGCACTAAACCCATTGGTGTTACGGGTTGGTAAGCTTTTTGCATGTGGTGGCATAAAATATGGTAACTGAAAGTTGGATGGACGCAAGGCGTGCTGATGTAAACAATTATAGAAGTCATGCAATGAGGCACTAATTATAACACCAGGGCACATGTCGTCGACACGCACGCCAATTGATCATACAGACAGCACTGATCAAAAGCACTAAGGTGTCCACAAAATAAACGTTAGGCCAGATTTTTCCTCCATGTACGTACTTACATATTTCATGCAGTGTGCCATGGAATTACTTTCTCAGCAAAGCAGCAAATGTTACACATAAACTGGTTGTGTGGGTCACAATACGTACCAACCTCCATAATTAACATTAATTGTAATTTTTGGTTTTACTAAAAATATGCTGGACTACCAATATCTTGCTCATTATGAGGGTGATACCAATAGCATCACACAATTACATGTTGCAGGGAGTCAATTCTTTTCTCTGCCACAGCATTCTCTGTAGTAAAGCTGTAGGTATGAGCCAGCTCCAATGCTGTTTGTGCTGCCAGTCTAGCCTGTGGAATGTCCCATTGACAGCGCTTCAGGTCAGACTCCATGAGCAGATAGTGGCACTGAGATCGGGGTGACATAGAGTACTGTTTGACTGCTTTCAGACAGCTGCTGGCTTTGGAAATACTCCATTCCTCCCTCTGTGAGCCAGGCCTGTAGTGGGTTGACCCAAGATACATCTGTGCTAGCCTAATAAAGGAATGCAGTGCAACAAGATCAAGTCCAGAGTCCTGAGCCCGGGCATGGTCAATGGCATGCTCGTAGGACATATTCACGGAGCGAAGTTGTTTCTGTGTAGGATGGTCAGTCAGTGTCTCGATTTGAATGCAAGCATTGCAGAAATGTAGAAATGCCGTGTCCTCGCCTTCCTCCACCATATGTAGGAAGTGTGTAGATTTGAGTATGTGTTCATGTGCCTTATCATACTGCTGGAGGTATCTGTACAGCCGAGACAAGATGTACTCACACCTGCCACTGAGAATAGTGGAATTATCTCCATCAAGTTGGGCAGCAAGTTCCCTTGCTTGAGCTACTGAATCCACTGCTTCCTTCTCCCTTCTTCGAAACGCCCAACTTACAGCACTTTCAAGAAGAGAAACAACCTGAAATTCTTTTGGGGTGCCAGGTCTCATCAATTTCTCCACTTCCAATTCGAGCTTGACCCACTGACTCTTGTGGTGGCACTCCTGGAACATCTTCATGATTGTATTGTATCTGCTTCCCTTCAAACAGCCATGTAGTTTTAGCTTTGAAGGGAACTGCCTTGAAACACGGACAACTGCCATATCTAGTGTTAGTTCTTCAAGTGAGTCGTGTGGCTGACCTTCCTCAAAGACCAGTTTGTATGCCTCAGAATCAACACTGTGGAGACACTCAGCAAATATACTGTGAGCAAGAGGTCCTTTTGAGTCCAGAACAGCAGCTATGTGAATTAGTAGGTCATTGGTTGCCCCGTGCACTTGACTCTGTAGCTTATCCCATTCCGTACAGGTGAGAAGATTCTTGCTGTACATGTGGTTTAGCAGAGCTTGCAAATCACATGATGTTAATTGTTGCAAATTACGAAGGAGCTTGTCTTTAAGTGTCACCGAATGCTCCACTTCCAGATTAGATGCGTATTCCTTGTTCTCAAGTACGGCCTGAACATATCTATGGCCAAGGTGGTTTGTCTCCTTGGTTACACACTGGTAGAAATTGAAATAAGCTAACAAGCCTATCTCTTCCACTCTTGCAATAAGTTTCTCAGCATCAGTGATGCGGTTGTGTGCTTCTAGTGGGGAAAGTAGCCTTGTTTTTACTAGTCTAATTTTCAACTCAGACAAATTAAGATATTGTACGACACTTCCATAGGAATTATATAGTCTTTCACGAATAAGTTGAGAAAGACGTAGTCTTGAGTTCTCAGGCTCTACTGATAACAAAAGACAATTCCTGCTCTTATCAGGACCAGATGAGCACTCATCACTCTGCATAGTCTCTGGGTACCTATTCTCCAGCCATGACTCAGGCCTACACTGCACAGGTTCAGTCAGTGTGCTCAGTTATATACGTACAGAGCCGATGCGCATGTGTATGAGGTACTCCCTCTCTGAGCTACGTATGTATTCCTATAAAAATGTGTACCCAGAGTTGTAGCCAAGAAGCAATACATATCAATGCACTGTGCAATAAAATATCTCCATATGCATGGTGACCAGTGCCAAAAGTACGTTTCCTGTTTGTGTATGGCAATGTCAAATATTATGTCCCAAAAACCATATAATTAGTGACGGGAAGGGACCCTACCTAGTCGTATGAATGCCAAATTTTTCTATATCAATAATGTATGGAACTGCCACATACTGTAATGTTATATGCGATTTTATACATACTGTAATGTTATATGCGATTTTATATAGGCGTGAAACAAGTGAAAAATCGAACTGCTCGCTTCGCTTGCAAAATTTGGTGTCCATTTCGGGTCTAACTGCATTTAAAAGCAAATTGGAAGGTGAAACCTCCATCTAAAGGTGAAAGTCTCTTTTGTTGTGTCATTTGGAGCACATGCATCTAGAGATTAAATATTAGTCTCCCTTTAACTATTATGAGTGTTTTGCGGATTGTATCTTTCCAGTGTTATAATTATGATGACCATGGCTCAAACTGTTGCCTTCTCCATCTACTTTTTCTCTTGATCTCCATCACTATAATATAAGGGCAAGGAGATTTCACACCCACACCGCCATTACATTGTCAAAGTCTACAACTTGTGTGATAACATAGCCCAGCTGTGCCAGACATCCTGTCTTCAACTAAAACTTGTTATTGTCCCCCCAAAAAGAGTTTTTAGTGCTCAAAAAATCCCACCTAGGCAGGATTACTTGCTAACTGGAAATGTGAGTATGATTTGTATCAGTTGTTGGAGAGCGGAAGCGAGCCAACCGACTGGGAATTTTTCCGTTGTACTGACTGGGTATTTTTCTGTCGTACACACCATTCATACGTTAAAATATGACACATAATTGTACGTCATACCACACCTGCATGCACTCATAATTTTCCATGCATGCTTTCGGTTTGCTATGCACTTGTTTCGCTATTGTTGTCCGCCTCTTCCGTGATGGATCCCGAGCCACCAACTACAACCAGCTGAAGCTCAAGCTCTACAATGAATCAAGCCCAAATCACACTACAGAAGCAAGGAAGCCAAGGGAGCAATGCCTATAGAGAGACCGTGTAATGAGTGAGGAACTGTTGTGCTTCGGAAAGCGAGGAAGCTCGAGAGCAATGCCCATTGTAGCTGATTTTTCTACAGCTGCTAAAAATTACACTTTGGGAAGACTATATCAACACTTAAGAGGAGGACGAATCCTACTTTTCCCCTGAAATGATCGTTAGGTCCTTAAAAATGAGAAATATCCCTCGAGAC